CACACACACACACACACACACACACACACACACACACACACACACACACACACACACAGCAGAGTTATGGGCTGGTGTTAGCCAAATAAAGGAGATTATTAGTTTTGATATGGTAGTGACTACATGGGTGTGTGGCGGGTGTACCTCAGCTGGTGGGAGGTGTACCTGGGAGACGCCCAGGTAGGCCACACCCCCCAGCAGGAGGTGGGAGGTGTCTGGCCACCACCACACAGCTCCCAGGGACGTGTGGCCTCAACTCTCTTGGAGTCTTCTTTTACTTTCTAGGCCCCCCCTCCCTCCCCCCCATTACCAGGGAAAATAATAATTCCAACTTCTCTATTTTGATGGTAGTTTTAAACTTTTAATCTTATAGTGAAACTAAGTTTAAGAAGTTATGTCACATTTGAAGTGAAACAGTCGTTCTGAATGTCCCTCACGTCACCCCTGGCACCCCTGGCACCCATGACACTCCTGACACCCCTGGCTTCCATGGCACTCTTGACAGCGAGGAGTGCCACCACGTCACGCCTGACACCAACGCCACATATGACACAGCTCCACTCCTGTGGTCTTCTGTGGTTGAGTGGGTGACGTTAGTGAAGACTGCGGCCGCCTCCCACCACAGTAATTGTCGAGAGAAAAACTCCACAGATCAATACGGGGGAAATAATGAGTGAGTTACAGGTTTTTAGTGGTGCGGGCTCTCCCTTTCAGCCTCCCGTCAACTACACTCGATAATTGGCAGTAAAAATGACGTAGCGAGGTTAGTGGTTTCATTGTCCGCTTGTAGAACACCATTGTTTATGACGCAATGTTTTCCCTACGTGTTTTTTGCCGGGTATTTCTAATTAACATTGAATTGTAATTATTTTTTTTTTGGGGGGGGGGGGGTTGTGTTGTGTTGTGACGTGGGTGAATGGTGAATAAGCACCATTGTGTGCTCTCACCGCTGCCATCTTTATGAAGGTTATTTATTGGTTGCAAAATATTACATTCTTGCTTTGCGTGCTTTACTGAGTCCAAATTTTTATTTTTATTTTTTTCAGAGAAAACAATTTGTGTAACACTTTCGCTGCTACCTTAAATTTGATGGGTAATTAATATTATAGAGAATATGTCCTCCATACTGTACTGTTGTGTAATTGTACACAAATGCACAGCGCGCGCACACACATAGAAACACACATACAGAAACGCACACAGTAGACTCCTGACCCATAGAGGTCCCTGTGACCATATGCTTTAACCCATGACTCGTACACAGGCCAACGGCAGCTCCTGCTTGAACCCTTAACTTGTATAGAGGCCGCGGAGCGCTGAGCTGAGCGCTGACCTGAACTGTGCTGAGGGCTGAGATGAGATTAGCGCTGAGCTGAAGTGAGCTGAGCGTTGAGCTGAACTGAGCTGAGGGCTGAGCTGAACGCTGAGCTGAACTGAGCTGAGTGCTGAGCGCTGAGCTGAGCGCCGCGTACAGCTCTGCTTTGATCCCCACCAGAGGGACCTGCTCTGTCTTCAGGTGAAGAGGCTTGGCTTTGGTGGTGGCTTGAGACACGGAGCACCGCTCACTATATGACGCATGACGGCAAGTTCCTCGCATTATAAAGTCCTTTACTGTTATGGTCGTCAGGGAAGTTGAAAGGAATCACGGAGACGTGACGTGGCTTGGACAGCTTTAGTCCCAAGAACTAACAAGGCGCTTCACATCAATCGTATATCAACATAGCCAGTGTTGCAAATGCAACGGTTGATAACAAAACGAATTGAATTTAGAAATATGAATAAGGAGTCATTCGTGTCCTTGTATACCACGTATGTCAGACCAGTTCTGGAATATGCAGCACCCGCATAAAATCCTCATTATGTTAATCAAAAAACAAAGCTTGAAAATCTGTTAAAGTATGGGTCTAGAAGACTCCAAGAACTGAGAAATATGACCGAATTAAGACTAATACAGTATAATTAACCACACATGACCACCATATATAAAATATTTAGAGTATTTGAGAGTGCAGACAAGGAGAGGTTACCCAGCATGAGTGTACACCAACACGGGGCATAATTACTTATGACAAGAAAAAGAATTGGTAAGTTGAGAGTCGGGACCCAGGCGCTGAAGCTCACAGGCACAGCGTGCGAGCACACTTTGATCCTTGTCTTCTCGATCATGGGGAAGGGGGAGAGGGGGGGTTGTGTAGGTGGTAGGTGAGGTCAGGGGTTGGGGTGGTGCCAGGTGGGGGGGGGGGAGGCGCAGGCAGGGGGGGGGGTGCAGGCAGCCAGCGAAAGTGTTTCCCGCCGTTTTAACATCCGTGGATGTGACTGGTGGTGTAAACTACACACAAATGTGTATAAAAAGCAATACACTCTATTTCAAGTGTTTTAAGTGTATGTGTTGCCAGGAAGAGTGAGATGAGTGTGTGTTCACACCCACGCCACACTCCCTCACACACAGTAAACATTGCTCCACCACCTTGTGGGGACACCCCCAGCTCCTACACGCTTAGTTGTACCCGGTGTACAACCCTGGACCTTGGTTAGTGGTGTAAGCTACAAATAAAACTGATTTAATTGTTCACACACAATTAAATCAGTTTTTAAATCAGAGTAGAGTATGAGCGACAGCTGAAACCAAGAGCTGATGGAGTTCAGCTGACACATTACAACACCACTTCAAAACGGTCATGAACTCCACTACACGCTCTGACCCAACACAAGGTTAAGTCTTAGCAAAATAAGACCGAGCTTCGTACCTGCAAGTTACCAAAATAAGGGAGGTTGCTGGTTTAATAATAGAGATTGGATCTAATGTCTTTGTGCCACTAACCCCATTTATTGGGGGTGAGGTTATACCATGGGCTTACGAGCTCACCTCGGTAACTACATTAATTGCCACTAAAATAAAATTATACTAACTAGGTTAATCAATATTTAACAAATATTTGATATATGCCAATGACTTAAAGACAAATTAAAATATACATTTGCAATAGATAAATTCATAGCAATAAAAAAATTCCATAACGTTGTCATTGTTTATAATATAATACATCTGTGGCAAGATACCAGATCAAAAGGATAGGCTAAAATAATTTGTAACTGAAACCGTGATAGCTGGATTATATTCTAATTTGTTTACAAAGTGGTAGAGTGGTGACTTTCATCCGACAGGTTAATGAACGCGGCACCATTCTTGTTGGAGCACCGTGAGACACAGCCACCTGGGGAACACAGAGAGGAGACACAGTCCACTACGCCACGAAGACAGCAACAGTTCCTTAGTGGCCCCTGGATATGACTACTGTCACTGTAGACAGCTAAGTTGCTGTTATCTTAGTAGTTAGAGCTTTAATCTAGGGAGTCAGATAGTACAAAATAACACCGTTTTCCCATCGTGGCCGTGGAGTTATTACCTCCCAGGACAGTGGTGGAGTTATCATCACCCAGGACAGTGGTGGAGTTATCACCTCCCAGGACAGTGGTGGAGTTATCACCTCCCAGGACAGTGGTGGAGTTATGACCACCTAGGACAGTGGTGGAGTTATCACCACCCAGGACAGTGGTGGAGTTATCACCACCCAGGACAGTGGTGGAGTTATCACCACCCAGGACAGTGGTGGAGTTATCATCACCCAGGACAGTGGTGGAGTTATCACCTCCCAGGACAGTGGTGGAGTTATGACCACCCAGGACAGTGGTGGAGTTATCACCACCCAGGACAGTGGTGGAGTTATCACCACACAGGACAGTGGTGGAGTTATCACCACCCTGGACAGTGGTGGAGTTATCACTTCCCAGGACAGTGGTGGAGTTATCACCTCCCTGGACAGTGGTGGAGTTATCACCTCCCTGGACAGTGGTGGAGTTATCACCTCCCGGTGGAGTTATCATCACCCAGGACAGTGGTGGAGTTATCATCACCCTGGACAGTGGTGGAGTTATCATCACCCAGGACAGTGGTGGAGTTATCACACCCTGGACAGTGGTGGAGTTATCACCACCCAGGACAGTGGTGGAGTTATCACCTCCCAGGACAGTGGTGGAGTTATCACCTCCCAGGACAGTGGTGGAGTTATCACCACCCAGGACAGTGGTGGAGTTATCACCACCCAGGACAGTGGTGGAGTTATCACCACCCATGACAGTGGTGGAGTTATCACCACCCAGGACAGTGGTGGAGTTATCACCACCCAGGACAGTGGTGGAGTTATCACCACCCAGGACAGTGGTGGAGTTATCACCACCCAGGACAGTGGTGGAGTTATCACCACCCAGGACAGTGGTGGAGTTATCACCACCCAGGACAGTGGTGGAGTTATCACCACCCAGGACAGTGGTGGAGTTATCACCACCCAGGACAGTGGTGGAGTTATCACCACTCAGGACAGTGGTGGAGTTATCACCTCCCAGGACAGTGGTGGAGTTATCACCACCCAGGACAGTGGTGGCCTCTGTCACTTCCCAGGTCAATCGATCAGGCTGTTGCTGCCCCCTCCCCCGCGCTTTCCATATTAATTAACTGCAAATCACAAACTTGGTCCCTTATCTGCCTGCTCAGTGACTGGTGACCCGTGCCGGTCAGTGGCCTCAGCTCGTCAGAGGTGAACAGTCTCCTTTGATCCGTGTGTGAGTGTCGCCCAGCCTCCCTCCACGAGAGGTCGTGTCTGGTGCCATGCCGACCAGCCGGGGTCCCTCGTCCTCTCTCTCTCTCCGGGCTAATAAAAGCCAGCGCATTTTGTCCCAATCGGGAATCCTAATGAGATTGGCGTCGTTCAGCTGAGTTCATCCCTGGTTTATCAGTGGGCGGTTCTTAACCCAGGTATTTCCTGGTGGAGGACCCTGATAAACCCTGACACAGTCTGGTGGAAGGCCGCCATCAACCCTGATATATATCCTGGTGGGAGGTATTCATCAATCCCTACATATCCTGGTGGAGGCCCTCATCAACCCCTGCTAAATACCTGCCCCCTCCCCACCCCACATTACAAAAATAGAGGTTTACTTACAGATATTTTTTGTTCTCGTAGACGTCGTAGAGGCCCAGGACGTGAGGGTGTTCGATTAATTTCATAATAGCTATTTCCCGTTCCACCTGGAATGAGAGAGAGAGAGGAGAGGAGATTAGATGACAGTTAACTGGTGAAATGTTTGGGATGAGAGTTGCCTTTGATGGCTCGGCCGCAGGTCAGAGGGAGCTGCCGCCTGTCCCCAGGGGATGTCCTCACTGCACCCCTCACTCTTTGTCGCGGTGGAGGGGAGAGAGAGAGAGAGAGAGAGAGAGGGTGGGAGGGAGAGAGAGAGAGAGAGAGAGAGAGAGAGAGAGAGAGAGAGAGAGAGAGAGAGAGAGAGAGAGAGAGAGAGAGAGAGAGAGAGAGAGAGAGAGAGGGAGGGAGGGAAGGGGAGAGAGAGAGAGAGAGAGAGAGAGAGAGAGAGAGAGAGAGAGAGAGAGAGAGAGAGAGAGAGAGAGAGAGAGAGAGAGAGAGAGAGAGAGATGGAGATGTGTGTGTGTGTACTCACCTATTTGTGCTTGCAGGATCGAGCATTGACTCTTGGGTCGCACCTATGTGTGTGTGTGTGTGTGTGTGTGTGTGTGTGTGTGTGTGTGTGTGTGTGGAGATCAAGACGACAACGTACACGCGTCCATGCGTGCCAGAAGTTGAATAAGTACTAGTGGGAAGTGATGCATAAGTATGAATGGTTTCCTATGTCCTCAACAATTACAATCCTCACTTTGTCGGCCGCCAGTGGAATATATATATATATATCATTATAAATATATATATAAACATATACATAACCATCACCCCACAGGAGTGTCGTGTTTACATAGAGGGTAATAAGGAATATCAGACAAAGACCCACACAACTCTCGCGTCTGTCAACAGTTGTCTGTCATATAATCCTCGATAATTAGCAATATCTAAGTTACTCCTGCACTCTGCAGCTGTTTGTTCTCACTATGAGCGTACCCAACCACTTGGGCTGGACGGTAGAGCGACGGAATCGATTCATGAAGGGTCGGCGTTCAATCCCCGACCGTCCAAGTGGTTGGGCACCAGTCCTTCCCCTCCGTTACATCCCAAATCCTGATCCTCAACATTGCAAGGGCAATATAGTCGTAATTATACATGATAATTACCTTACCTCGTTCACAATGGTCACTGCTAGGGTGGGGGATGGAGGGGGGGGGGTCCGTGACCTGACTTCACTCTACAGTCCTATGACATAAGGACGGAGATGTTACCCGTCCGGTCGAGGGATGGACTGGTTGCTGGATAGATAGTGTGTTGTCTGGTCGTGAGGATTTTGTTTTCAACAACAGTAAGTTAAGGGTCCTCTGATAGGTTAGGTGGGCAGGAAATTCTCATAAAGTTTCAAAACGTTATGAAAAACGTGAAAGTAAAGTGTCCTCTCATAACCTCTGCGCGTACGCCGGACGACTCAAATAGAAAACGGAACAGTACGTCACTTTTGTGAGTCGATTTCATTTCAAATTACGTCCAAATTTGGCCATAGTGCGCATACGAGCGAAAAGTGACGTTCTTTTTAAGAGGACGGGTTGCGTGAGCGGGATCACCAGCATATGGCTGGAGTCAGGCTGTGACTCACAGTCCGTCGCTAATTGACGCCATTATGGATGCTTGAGGGCGACTCACTGCTGCCTCCTCACGCCCGACCAGACACTGGGTTATGGAACAGCGTCGGACTAGACCGCTGTGCCCACAACTGGTGCAGCGGGCCCACACCAGGGGCCGCACCTGCTCCACGGCTGTAAGTGGACAGAGCTTTGGGGTGAGCATCCTGCTCTCGTGACCTGTAGACAGTGAGTGACAGGCTGCCCTTCATCATGACGGTCTCTGTGAAGCGTGACATCCCGGGTCACCTCCCGTTGTCACATTAGGTGGTTGGTGTCCCCCCTGGCTGGTGTCCCCTGGCTGGTGTCCCCCTGGCTGGTGTCCCCCTGGCTGGTGTCCCCCTGGCTGGTGTCCCCTGGCTGGTGTCCCCTGGCTGGTGTCCCCCTGGCTGGTGTCCCCTGGCTGGTGTCCCCCTGGCTGGTGTCCCCTGGCTGGTGTCCCCTGGCTGGTGTCCCCTGGCTGGTGTCCCCTGGCTGGTGTCCCCTGGCTGGTGTCCCCCTGGCTGGTGTCCCCTGGCTGGTGTCCCCTGGCTGGTGTCCCCCTGGCTGGTGTCCCCTGGCTGGTGTCCCCTGGCTGGTGTCCCCCTGGCTGGTGTCCCCTGGCTGGTGTCCCCTGGCTGGTGTCCCCTGGCTGGTGTCCCCTGGCTGGTGTCCCCCTGCCTGGTGTCCCCTGTCTGGTGTCCCCTGCCTGGTGTCCCCTGGCTGGTGTCCCCTGCCTGGTGTCCCCCTGGCTGGTGTCCCCTGCCTGGTGTCCCCCTGCCTGGTGTCCCCTGGCTGGTGTCCCCCTGGCTGGTGTCCCCCTGGCTGGTGTCCCCTGGCTGGTGTCCCCTGGCTGGTGTCCCCTGGCTGGTGTCCCCCTTGCTGGTGTCCCCCTGGCTGGTGTCCCCCTGGCTGGTGTCCCCTGGCTGGTGTCCCCCTGGCTGGTGTCCCCTGGCTGGTGTCCCCTGGCTGGTGTCCCCCTGGCTGGTGTCCCCTGGCTGGTGTCCCCTGGCTGGTGTCCCCTGGCTGGTGTCCCCCTGGCTGGTGTCCCCTGGCTGGTGTCCCCTGGCTGGTGTCCCCCTGGCTGGTGTCCCCTGGCTGGTGTCCCCTGGCTGGTGTCCCCCTGGCTGGTGTCCCCTGGCTGGTGTCCCCTGGCTGGTGTCCCCTGGCTGGTGTCCCCTGGCTGGTGTCCCCTGTCTGGTGTCCCCTGCCTGGTGTCCCCTGGCTGGTGTCCCCTGCCTGGTGTCCCCCTGGCTGGTGTCCCCTGCCTGGTGTCCCCCTGCCTGGTGTCCCCTGGCTGGTGTCCCCTGGCTGGTGTCCCCCTGGCTGGTGTCCCCTGGTTGGTGTCCCCCTGGCTGGTGTCCCCTGGCTGGTGTCCCCTGGCTGGTGTCCCTGTAACGGAGGACACAAGAGAAAGGGGAGGAGATACAGCAAGACTACTGGACTTGATCTTCACCCAGAATGAGGAAGACATAGTTTCTTTCACAAACAAATGAGCATAGTTTCTTTCACCTGATGTCTCTGTTTACCTAGCAGTATATATGTACCTCAGAGTTAGACAGCTGCTACGGGATGTATGTGTGTGTATTCACCTAATTGTATTCACCTAGTTGTGCTTGCGGGGGTTGAGCTCTGCTCTTTCGGCCCGCCTCTCAACTGTCAATCAACTCTTACTAACTACTACATTTTTTTCCACACACACACACACACACACACACACACACACACACACACACACACACACACACACACACACACACACACACACACACACACACACACACACACAGGAAGCAGCCCGTAACAGCTGTCTAACTCCCAGGTACCTATTTACTGCTAGGTAACAAGGGCATTAGGGTGAGAGAAACTCTGCCCATTGTATCTCGCCGGCGCCGGGAATCGCACCCGGGCCACAGGATTACGTGTCCAGCGTGCTATCGACACAGCCACCCGGCGCAGTGTGTGTGTGTTTTAGAGAAATATACGTAGTAAACATAATATAAAAAATAGAGCGGTTAGAAAGGCGGGGTCCAAGAGCTAATAGCTGGGTTGTGCAGGCGCCCCCCCCCCACACTGCCGGAGTGGGGGTGGCGCCCCGGCCTGAGGAACACGCCGACAATGTCACCAATGGACAATTTCCCCGCCAAAATTAACCCCGGTGTGGTGGCCATGATTTGACACCCATCCATCAAGCACCTCCCTAGACGCCCCCCCCCCTCTCACTCCCTCCTCAGCCACTCACAGCCTAACACAGTGACGTCATAGAGCACCACTCTGCTCATTGGTCAGGAATTCTGGGCCCGGCTTACCGTCCAGCCCGCGGCGCCTCGACCCTCCCTGTCTGGTGCCAGGCGCCGCCGGGGCAACACGCGCCCCCGCTCTCTGAGGGTTGAGGCACGGCGCCCCCCGCCCACCACACTATACCAGGCTCGTGCTTGTCTCACATCACGCGGAAATTCCCCATGACGCTCTAGGGTTAGCTGCAATTTTGGTTGTTCAAGTATACTCAAGGTTCATTGTAATGTTATGGTCAACAGGTGACATAGTTGATGATACAACACTCTCGTTAGTGACGTCACTTTTCACCCAACACGTCATTCCTTATGTACTCACCTAGTTGTGCTAACGGGGGTTGAGCTTTGGCTCTTTGGTCCCGCCTCTCAACTGTCAATCAACTGGTGTACAGGTTCCTGAGCCTACTGGGCTCCATCATATCTACACTTAAAACTGTGTATGGAGTCAGCCTCCACCACATCACTGCCTAATGCATTACATTTACTAACTACTCTGACACTGAACAAATTCTTACTAACGTCTCTGTGGCTCATCTGGGTACTAAGTTTCCACCTGTGTCCCCTTGTTCGTGTTTTTCCCATGCTAAAGAGTTTGTCTTTATCCATCCTGTCAATTCCTGAGATTTTTGTAGGTGGCAATCGTGTCTACCCTTACTCTTCTGTCTTCCAGGGACGTGAAGCTTAGCTCCCGTAGTCTTTCCTCGTAGCTCATACCTCTCAGTTCTGGGACTAGCCTGGTGCCATATCTCTGAATCTTCTCTAACTTTGTCTTGTGTTAGACTAGGTATGGTCTCCAGGCAGGAGCTGCAAACTCCAGGATTTGTCTGACATAAATGGTATACAGGGTCCTGAACGATTCCTTACACAAGTTTCTAAAGACAGTTCTTATGTTGGCCAATCTAGCATATGCCGCTGATGATATCCTTTTGATGTGGGCCTCTGGGGACAGGTTCGGTGTGATATCGACCCCTCATATCTTTCTCTCTATTTGACTCTTGCAGGATTTCACTTCCCAGATGGTACCTTGTGTTCAGCCTTATGCACCCTTCACTTAATTTCATTACTTTACACTTTCCTGAATTGAACTTTAGTAGCCATTTTCTAGACCATTCCTCCAGTTTGTTCAGGACGTCCTGAGGTATTTGTATCTTCATCTGTATTGATTCTTCTCATAAGTTTTGCATC